AAAGTAGAACAAAATTTGAATCCAAAAGACAAAGAGAGGTCCAAATCGTTTTGAGACAAAACATAAACATATCCAACGGACAACGTAATCCCAACATAAAAGACGGTACAGATCGATTCAATATTATTGATTCGACGATCCTAATTAATCTACATTACAACAATACTCAACTACATTCATTTTATCTCTCCTCATCTCCATTTAAAAACATTAGAGATATTGATTAAGACTCTACTATATTCCTTTTATCTCTCATCATCCTCATTTAAACTATTGGAAAGTTTGACTTAGACAGTGGTATATTTATATATATCTATCTACACAAACAATATAGAGGCAATTTTAAATTTTCAAAATTAAAATTAATACTCTCAATTTAAAAGAAAAAAGAGAGAGAAGAACAACTAAGATTTAATTGAAATTTAAATATACGATTTAGATATCATCAAAATTTATCTAATCTAATCTTACCCAAATATTATATATGTATTATCATTTGGGCTCTAAATTTGGTCCCAAAATTTGGTCAGTGTAGCATTACTTATAATTCTATCTTCTGAGAGTTTGACTTGAACGACTATATATATATATATATATATATCGAATAATAACATAATAAATCTAATACCTATTAATACCCTAATCTCTCTCTATATCATATTCTCATCTCTCATAAGTTTATCACATCTCTCATATAACTCTCTCTCTCTAAACACCTGTCAACACACACATATCAATATCGACTCCTACAAAAAATATATATATTTTTTTAGGTATAATAATTAAATATATAAATTGTATATATGTTGATATTTTTTGGAGGTCGTGTTTTTAAATAAGTTTTGTCAAAAAATTTTAAAAAATAGTGTTTTTAAATTAATTTTGATTTGTATAACTAAAGAAAATAATAAAAAAAATAAAGTATTTTTGAAATATTTATATTGCATAACCGGTGATCAAGGTTTTTTGAGTTGCTTAGTGCCTTCAGGCACAGGTTATTACTAGTATATATATATATATATATATATATATTTTCATCTTCTAGCACGAAATACCTCTACTTTTACTCTCTCTTGCTCTCTGTAAACTCCTATTTTACCTCTCATTATTATTATTAATTTTTACATATTTGTTTTCTCAAATAACTATCAATGATGACTGAGTAAATTAAGGAATGATGTTTAAGTAAAAAAAATTTTAATTCATTTTGAATTTTGTACCTAAACACAAAAAATTTTATAAAAATTGTACTTAATAGAATAAATAACTTATCCATATATTTTTGCTCAAATAAATCTAAAAAATTGTACCCACACAAACAAAAAAAAAAAAAAAAAAAGGGGGAAATAGAACTTTGTTGTGATTTGTCTGTGAATACAATCTGGGTCCGGGCCCACCAAGAATCAAAAGATGGAGAAGCCCATGCCGTGCCATGACAAAGCCGAAGAAGCCAATCAAACATACATGTTGGCTGTTGCTCTACGTCTTCTGTTGAAATGACGACTATATCCTTGAATTGAATTGATAAATACTGACAAAGCAATTCGAATATTTTCTATCATCTTGTCGGCTTCTTCACTCTCTTTCTCTTGCTTGCAGAGACTTGTGTGTTTTTCGCTGCGTTTATTAGTCTGATCTCCAAAGAATCTTAACTTAGTTCAATCAAGTTATTCGCCTGATCAGGTACAACTCTTCTTCGCATACATAATTCATATATTTGTATATTCTGAATCATTGAAGTGTGATCTACCCAATAATTTCCATTTTATCACTCTCACTCTTAGGGTTGTTCGCTCTGTCATTAGATTTCTATGTTATTCGCTCACTCATTACATTAGATTTCTTCTCTTTTAAGCATGATCACCTTACTTGATACTCCTGTCCTGTTTAGTCAAAGTCTTTCTGAATTACTCAAATTAATAAGGTTTTCGGTCATCTTGTTATTGTCAATTTCAAGTTTCAGTCCCATTCTAGTTTGCAACTAGTTAATCAAAGGTACCTTTTGTAGTGCTTTTTTAAATACTAGCAATTGCCCTGTGTAATAAATTAAAAAAAAAAAAAACTTAAAATCACATAACTTGAAGCCTTTACCATGAAAACTCAAATTGAGATCATAGAACAAAGCTTGACAATGGCTATATCTACAAGCATGTCAAGAACTTTCACATCAGTCTTGACATCGTACTTGTCTTTTGGTACATTAAACTCTTCTTTTTTTTTTTAAATTAAACCCAGTTAGGGGCCAGTTTTATTACTAATCTAACTTTCCCCAAAAAATCTTCAACCATTTCAACAGTGGACTTCATCCTCCTTTTGCCGAAAATAAAGCAGAGATATGAGAACTATGCTTCTCTCTTTGTGATCTGCCCTACATCCCGAGATTCTATCCCTTAGAAGTGTCCATTATTTTTGGAACCAATCCACCAGTGAGAAAAAGGAAACCGAGATTTGAGATGTCAAATTTTCTGGGATCCTAGCTTGTTATAAGACCGTTACTTATCATCAATTGACTAATCATAACAGTATGAAGCCATTAAGCAATTCAAAAACATTCCAGTTCATTATTCAGACTATGATTCAAAGTCGCGGTATTAGCCATCGACTCGAAGAATACTGATATACACGCGTCGCAGCGCAATATTGATCGATTCACTCAAAACACTAAATAAAAACTTCAAAAAATTTTGAAAAAATTATAAAAAATTTTGCAAATATAAACATCATCATTCATACATTATATGTCCACAATACGTCAAAAAACACATTAAATATAATTAAAATGAAATATAAGGACGCTATGGAAATATATAGTTCTATTTTTCTTTCTTCTATTTTAGTTTTTCACTTATAATTTTTTTGATTTTTGAAAGACAATATTTGAAATATTTATTCATTAAATAAGTAATTTAAATATAAAATTAATGTAATTGTAACATTTAATTTTAAATAATCTGAAATAGAACATATATCCACTCATTATATTAAATTGAAAAATAATTATTTTTTTAATTATTATTATAAAATATTAATGTATCTAATTATTACATTAAAAATTTTAATAATTTATGAATGAGTGAATTTAATCCAAGGTTTTCAAAATATTTCTCATACCAAAGAAATAGAGAGGTTGCTCACTGGTGGTTGGTCGCTGCACACAGAGGGAGAGAGAGTGAGAGGGGACAGACAAAGAGAGGAGGTGTTGGAGCGAGCGCGCACATAGAGGAGAGGGGTGGGATAGGCCAGGGTGGATTTTCGGTGGGTGTATATGTGTGTCAAGTTTTAGGGGAGACATGACAAAGATGGGTACGAACCAAGAAGGGAGAGAAAGAGAAAGGAGAGAGAAGGCACCGATTGATTTAGGGGAATTAGGGGTTGATTGAGGGATGAGGAGAGAGAGTCCACTTGATAGAAGGATGGGCGGGAATCTGAAAATTCCTCGGTTAAAATTAATCATCAAATTAAATTTTAAGAAATTTAGATAAATTTGAACCATGAAAAACAAAATACATTTTTTATGTCTTAAGAGATTTAAAATTCTTTGTACTTTATTATATACTAGGGTGTTAATATTAACTGTTAGATTAACTTTAAAGTAAAATTTAAATCGATCTCAACCGTGAATAGCAAAAGTCATTTTGTTTATCTTTTGAGATTTGAATTGTAAGCTACTTTATTATATATATATATATGTTTGAGTAATGCTATAGGAACTTAAAAGATAAACTTAAAAATTAGACTTGATAATTACAACCATTGATTTCACTGTGGGTCCAAGCATTTATTGAGACCCTCTATCTATTCAACGGTTGAGATTATCAAGTCTAGTTTTTAAATCTAATTTACTCTATATGTTTTTACTTTCTCGGTTTGCTCCTACTTAATTGCATGTATATGTATAGTATGCATATACATATATTGTATTATTTATACACTAAGATGCATGTAGATAAATTTTACAAAATATTAATAAAGTATTTTTTTTAATTTTTCAATGAAATTGTTTATTTGCTTAAAAAATGTTACTTCAAAAACAGAGATACCAATCAGTGTATCAGATTTAGAAGAGGGCTTGTATCCTTGTGGTGAGAATATTTGTTGTGGAAGAAATGTTGCCATTCTTTGTGCTTGATATTGGAATTAATTCAATTAGTAGGCTAGTAACCAACGGTGTGAAATTATTGTTCATTTTTGAATGATACATTTACTTATAATCTTTTTTTTGGGCATGATACCTAATATACTGAGTGGTGAAAGGCGCTTTTGAAATCAATGGGATGACATTAGCCATTTTGAACGGAAATCAAAGGGAGGAAAGATTGTAAAGTCATTTGGTAGGACTATGGACGGACATTTAATCGAAGATATTTGATTTAGATTGCAATATTACGCATGGATGGTCGGGTGGATAATCTTGTCACTCTATTTTTTTGTTTATATGCAAAGGTGGATCACTATTACAAATACAAGATAGCACCATTACAATGAAGTCTAAACAAATCACAATTACAAATAAAGCGAGAAAGAAACTCAAAAGAAGAGCAAAATGCAATCCTCAAAGAGAGGCACAATATGAGATTGATACTCGCCTTTGGCAAGAATTCACCCCTTGAGCTCTTGGGTGGGAGTATCAAGGGAGGCCAATTAAGCTAAGCCCAGTTGGTTCTATTGTCATTCTAAGATATTATTTGAGCAACACATACATATTTTTTCTGATTTAGCTGTATATAACGGTCTAACATGCTAATTGTGTTTCTCAAGGACTTAAAAATATTTTCTAAGTTTCAACTTAACTTAGGAATGGATGGCAACGTTGGAATTTATTTTCAGGATGAGAAAGATGTAAATTTACTAACTCACTCTCTGGGAAGTCTCTTGAAATCAAAGTATTTTATATCAAGCTCATGCTCCTGTGAACTGATTAAAATTCATGAAATCTCACCACCAAGAAATTAATGGAAAGTCGGAATGGACATTAATTAGTTGTCATGTCTGCAGGTTAAATGGCAGCTGAACTGGTCAATGTGAATGAGTTTCAAGAACTGGCAAGGCAAGCCCTTCCCAAGATGTACTATGATTTCTACAGTGGGGGAGCTGAGGACCAACACACACTGAGGGAAAATGTGGAAGCATTTCATAGAATCATGTAAGTTGTTATACCTATCATTGTTACCAGTGAACTGGGTACAGTATTTATAACATCACTTTCTATAATGCCAGCATTCGACCAAGAATTCTTGTAGATGTTAGGAGAATAGATATGTCAACTACAATATTGGGGTACCATACTTCAGCACCCATCATGATTGCTCCAACTGCAATGCATAAGTTGGCGCACCCTGAAGGTCTCCTTTCTTTATGAGAGTTTTTTTGACCAAGTTAGATGTGTAGTTTTGATTCCAGCTGTGGATTATTTATTCCAGGGGAGGTCGCAACAGCCAGAGCAGCAGCTGCTTGTAACACCATAATGGTACTATTTTTCAGAGGTGAAGCTAATTTGTCTGATTTGGTTGCTTAAATTCTGGGTTTTCTTTATTTCAGGCATTGTCCTTTACGTCTACCTGCACCGTGGAGGAGGTTGCTTCCAGCTGCAATGCTATTCGCTTCTTTCAGTTATATGTATTGCATTTTCTCTGGAGCTCTTATACTTCTAAATTTGTTTATTGATTCCTATCTTTCTTAAGCAGCACTGGTTGGTTTTTATCTTGTACACACATTCATGGGAACTGAATTCATAATTTGGTACATCTCTCGATACTTAATAGGTGTACAAAAGACGTGATATATCAGCTCTGATGGTACAAAGAGCTGAAAAGAATGGGTTCAAGGCTATTATTCTTACTGTTGATACTCCTAGACTAGGTCGAAGGGAAGCAGACATCAAGAACAAGTGAAACTTCATATCCCTTTCTTTTAGATTATATTTTCTTCCTACAATTGGAATATTAGTCATTGCTATTTTCAGTATATCCTCGATCCACTGCTATCTTGGATCTTATGTTTTAATAATTCTGCCAATCCTTTCCTCTGTATTATTTGTGACCTTGCTGAAATCACTTATGCAGAATGATTGTACCCCGGCTGAAGAATTTGGAAGGTCTCTTGTTAGCTGAAGTTGTCAGTGTGAGTAGAATAATTTTGTATTTCTATTTTTATTTCTATTCCCAATGTTAGCGTCGAAAAATAGTTACAAATGACAGATGAATTTATTTTATGGCAAAGTCTGACAAGCACTACACGTTCCTCCACTTGTTGCTACTCTCTCTCTCTCTCTCTCTCTCTCTGCTCGGTAATGATAGAACTTGTTAATTATATCAACAATACAATACAAGTAATAGGAGTCCAACTGTACCAAATACTAAAATACAGAATATTCATCCCAAGGAGCCATGCCTCAATATACACACATAACAAACCACTAGGAAGAATAAACAACGATTACGTAAAAAAACCAGCAAACTTGTAAGTGCACAATCAATGAGTTCCCATAGAATGCAACTTTCAATTGGTATAACCCCAGAACCACATGTAGTGAGGCATGGACAATATAAATACGGCACTGTCCTCCAATCAAAGCATATTGTCAAGAATGATTGAATGAAGATGGACTCATTATTGACTGGCAACATTATTTTAAATGCAGCCTTGTGGCATAGAAACTGACCAATACTGACCGACTCTGTGAGCAGTAATGCTACATCTATTTTAGTATTTTATCCTGCTTTGGGGAGAATTGATTACGAAAATCTCTTAAAAAAGTACATACTTTTCTCTTTAAAATTCCAAGGCAGCCACAGTATCAGCTGATCCCAAGGATTAGACTTCTCACCCCTATCCCAGATGATTCCAAGAACTAGAATTCACCTTCATTAGTCGACAATGAAAGAGGAGATGGTTATATGGTTTCATTTCCATTCTACAAATAAATGAGACCCCTAGTGATAATAGGTTTAGATACAAGCCTCTGACAATCCGTGCTAGATGGCCAGCCAACTTAAAGCGGTGGAGAGGGGGCAGATCCTTGTCCCTTGTCTGCCTTATGTAATTAATCATGAGTTGAAAATAAAGTTCAGTTGCTCTGAACTAATAATGCATTTTTAGGTTGTTTACATTTAGCTCTTGCTATTCATTAATTAATTTTCCAAATTCCTGCATTTACAGATAGTGTAAATATTTGTGATCATTTTGCCATTCACAGGCAGATGAGTCTTTTTGAGAATAGCTATGCTGAACATAAATGCAAGGGCTTTGAAAACATGAACACCTTGTGTTTCTTATCAAATGTATAAGGAGACTTGTCTATGCTGTATTTCTATTAATAAGACTCACGATAAAGTTACTCTCCACTATTCAGACAGACACACACCTACACACAGAGAGAGTCTTGTCATGCCTCTTCACAGCTATAGGATTTTCCTATTCTGCTGTGCAATAGCATACATGTCGTGGATACTCCCCTATGTATTTAAGTGTTTGAGTTTATGCACCTTTGCATATATGTTTATCCATCGCTGAAAAGCATAGGTTACCTTGAAAAAATCATATTCCTTTTATTTCTTCATTTTACAGGATAAGGGTTCCAATCTTGAAGCTTTTGCATCGCAGACTCAAGATGCTTCCTTGTGTTGGAAGGTATAAAGCAATAATTTACTTCTGGGGACCTTGTAATCTGTCTTTGAAGAAACCTATCATGGAAGGTGTTAGTGTTGGACCAGACATTTCATTTTCTTGGAAGCACCAATTAGGATATCTGAATTATCCTGCGACCCAAAATAAACTGTTCTGCTTATATGGGAAAGTATGTACTTGATACAGTTATCAAGGACAGAAGAATAAAACCAAAAGCGCCTGATATCTCACACTCCTCTCTGAGTTTTTTAGTACTTTTTTTTGAACATTAATGGCTGGGAGTAATGTGCTTTAATTAGATTTTAAGGAACTTTGCAGGATATAGCATGGTTAAAATCCATTACAAACTTGCCGATTTTGATCAAGGGAGTACTCACTCGTGAGGATGGTAAAATAATGACGCTCTTTTAGTTATTTGCATCCCCTCATCTTTATACTTTGTATAGACTATGGCCCTTTGAGAATAAGAGTTGGTTAGCATATCCTTTCAAATGCTGTCTCCTTACATGCTCTTAAAAATTGAGAGATACTCTATTTTTATAAGTATCTCTTTTTCTACTAATATTTTCCAGAATTGAACATATTTGTTGAAGATTTGGCATACATTGTTGGCAGCTATAAAGTCTCTGGAAGTAGGAGTTGCAGGAATTGTTGTCTCTAATCATGGAGCTCGCCAGCTAGATTATGTTCCAGCCAGTATTACTGCTCTAGAAGAGGTGAGACTCAATTTCTGCTCTTCAGAGTTCAGATTTAATGGTGTTGGATGCAGATGCGCCAGCATATTGAAGTGGCATCAAGTGTAATCAAAGAACTTGCATTGCATGTGATTGGTAGAAATGAAACATGGGGATGGAATCACCATTACTAATTAATATCAATCCAATGTTTGGTTTGCAGTAATTTTAAAATTCGTTCTCATTATCGTAGAATGTTTAATCCCACTTGTGTAGGATTTGTAATTTTTTAATATGAGGTGGTATTATCCATTATCGAATGCCACCACTTGCCGCCACCATGACTACCAACCACCACCACCACCCCACCTACACCTCCAGGTCTAGGTTAGGTCAGGCCGAGTTTGGATCTGAATCTGGGGTCAAAGTCAGGTCTTCGGAACCCTTGAATTGGTCTCGGTCTATGTCTAGGTCGGGGTCGGGGTCCAGGGTTTGGGGCTGAATCCCGGGTCAAAGGTTTCGAGGTTGTGGCATAGAAAATAGTTGTATTATTTTAATGTTATCAAGAATATTTTGATCAAATTTAATCTAATTTAGTAGCAAATTAATTTGTCTAAATACGTGAAGGAATTTTGTATTCTATTTTAGCACTTAATCCTAGTTGTTGTCAAACCATTCCATTCCCAAGTGCATTTTATTCTCACGTAAATGTATTACTGCACAACAGATTTTACTTTGATAGTTAGAAACAAGAATATTAGCATATAAGAGTTCATCACACCAGGAGATTGGAAAATGATATACTTCATTAAGAGAATATATGTATTGTTAGGGGTGTTCAAATTTCAGATCGGCTGCAAGTTCCTACCCTACTCTACCCTACTGAACGGCTAGCTTCAAAAATCAGGTAGGAATGCGGAAGAATTTTTGGTCTTCCGATAATTTTCAGGTAGGAATGTGGAATAGCCATCCATTTTTGCATTCTTACCCTACTCTACCCGCAATAATTTTTTAATATATATAAATAAAAACTAAAAAAACCCTAAACCTTAACCACAAGCGGAGCAATTATGATTTTAATGTATTTCATATGATTTAAAGTTTAAACTTAAATTAATTGTTATTGTATTTGTGTAACAATTATGGTGGATTGATGTTCATACTTTCTTGTGTTTTATTATAATTGTTGATGTAGTTGTTTTAGATTTTAATGTTAATTGCTTTATTGTGTTGTTAAATTAGTGCATGCTATTTAATTAAATTGTTAAAATGATTCAAAAATTAATTGTTACAAAAATGTTTACCCGATTTAGTACTTATCCGATTAATCGAGTAAGAAGTCAGGTAGGAATACCACACCTGTCGGGTAGGGTAGGCAAAAAAAAAAAATTTCGCAAATGTCGGTTAAAAAGACGGAAGAGTATATTTCCTACTCGTAGGGTAGGGTGAACACCCCTATGTATTGTTTTAAATCTTCACATCATCCTTCATTTTGTTTTAATCTCCCCACCCCCACCCCTACACATAAGGCACGTTGACATTACAGAGCCTATGCGTACACACAATATGTGACGAGCATTAAGTTATGATAAACAAGTATCATATCTATTCTTTTGACATGAGTATTCTATTTGATGAGTTTTCAAACAAATTATCATAGTAGCTGATAATCACCCATTTCATTAAGAAAAACATAGCATATATACATAATTATGATAATTTCTGTCATCTTCCCATACTCCTCCTCCTGTGATATCTGCATGTGCCATAATATGTTTTTCTCAATAAACTTATGTCTGTAACTCCAATATGATTAGCCTTGACACTTAGAAACTTTTGTCCTTGATAAGAAAGTCATATCTAAACTTTCAGCTTTGGTGAATCACATGATACTAATTGTCCAAGTAGTGTGGCTATAAGGCTTTAGGTGTGTTGGATACATGGGCAAAGGAGTATTGGATATTGAGCTGCATTTTTAATACGCACATGATCAAAATTGTGACAGACACATGTCCAAGAGTGTTAGACAGGTATTGGTGTCTGACACTAGTCCAATACCCACACGACACCTTACTAGAAGTGTCCGTACTTCTTAGCACACGAGTTGTTTCCAACAATTTGGGGAGGCAAGTGTGTTCCAAATAACTTATTGAGACAATTTTAAAATACATAAATTTTGCAGTACTTCCTGTAATGGGAGCATTACATATTTGAAAACAAGTGAGTTGCTGCATTTCTTCCAAAAAACTTCGTTTTCTCAGGTGTAATAATTTAATGGTCCAAAACAATGAAGTGTATTCGTAAATTATGGGGTTGCAGGTGGTTCTTGCTGTTCAAGGGAAAATCCCCATTCTCTTTGATGGAGGAGTGAGGCGGGGAACAGATATCTTCAAGGCCTTGGCTCTTGGCGCACAAGCCATTCTGGTAAACTTGTTTACTATTAAAAACCATTTGAAGTATTGATCGATGTACCTTTTCTTCAATTGCGAGATTCTCTTTCTCGATGTTGCCTGTTGACATTTGCTCATTTATATGTTCTTTTGATCTGCAGATAGGACGACCCATTATCTATGGGTTGGCAGCAAAGGGAGAATATGGAGTCAGGCGAGTCATTGAAATGCTGAAGGATGAGCTTGAGCTCACCATGGCCCTTTCTGGTTGCTGTACTCTCAAGGATATAAGCAGAAGCCATGTGAGGACAGAGCACGAGAGACGTCAATGTAGGCTCTAGTGACATTGTGAAGGGCTAAACCTTGCTTTGCAGATGGATGCTTCAGATCAACCACCATAAAGAAATAATTTGTTCAAGTTTTCCCATGCATTACTGTTTCGGATGTGCAGAGATGTGTGTGCACACTCAGTTAAGATATGGTGGCAGCTGTACAATGTTTCTGTTACCCTGTTGAGACTTGATAAGTGCATTTATATGTACGAGGGTGGAAAGAATTGGATGTGGGTAACCCCCTCCCTCCTTTTATCTCCAATTTCAAGTCTGTTACTTTTACAATGATCACTGTTGTCTAAAACTATGAATGAATAAGAGCTGCATTTGACGCACTAAAAGATTCCACCCCTCATTGAAAGCTCTTTGAATTTTAACATCAAACTAAAAACCATGTCTTCGATCCAAAGAAAAAACTAAAAACCGTGTCACAAAAAATCAACATAACTGAATGATTGCCCTTCTTATTATCAGAACGTGAATAATCCAAAATTTCATTCTATGAAACTTTGATGCAAATAACCAGATTAATAAGATACAATAAGTTCAAAAATTAACATATAACCGTGTCCTACTGAACAGTATATCTACATACATGACTTAATCCCAAGTAGGTTCAGGAATACCTAAACGCAAATTGACCTCCTTATCAATGGGCACAACCAAATTACAAGGGCTGCAACTGTTTTGGGGGGTAAATTAGCAATTTTTGTCGATGCCAACACAGCAACACCATCTCCCCGCCACAAAAGCTTTTTCTCTTTTCAAGAACTTCCGAGAGAGAGAAGGCTTTGAACCTCAGCCAAAGCATTACCACAAGGACCTAAAAGCAAGCTTCTTATCTTGACCAAGTGTTACAAACAGAGTTGTTATTCTACTTGACACCTTTAACTCCACAGGAGAACGTGATACCAACCAAGCCCAGGGCATGTGAACTTACTTGATCTGGACTATGCATTGCTAACAGAGTTACCCTTATTGGCACCTTGCAACTCCATAGGAGAATTGGTGATGCTACCAACTGAGCCAAGGGTCTGTGAGCTCAGCTGAGGGCTTGCCGGACAAGCGTCTGGATTACCAGCACTCATGGGATGGATAGCCCCAGAGCTCAGTTGCGGGCTCATTGAAGTTCGCTGATTCATTTGCTGTGGGCTAGCCTGCTGCTGCTGCTGCTGTTGGGATGGTTGGTTTTGTTGCAGTGGGATTCCCAAAGTTGACGGCGAACCCACTTGAGAGGGTGAAACAACAGCCTGAAGTGGAGATGTTGTCTGTTGTTGCTGCTGTTGCTGCAATTGTTGTTGTTGCTGCTGCAATTGCTGTTGTTGCAACTGCTGCTGCTGCTGTTGTTGCAACTGCTGCTGTAATTGCAACTGTTGCTGCTGCTGCTGCTGCTGTTGGTTCATGTAAAGATTCATCCCTGTCATCAATTTTGGTGGACCCATTGGCCCCATTGCTGTTCGCTGCATTGGATTTATGTTGGCTCGATTCAGACTGGAGCCCAGCATTGAAAAACCAGTAGAGCCTGGTTGCATCTGTCTAGCCCCCGACAACGCACCAATACTTGATTGTGGCCCTCCCAACATGTTTGTTCTATTCTGCTGCATCCTAAGTTTTGTTGCCATTATAGCAGCTTGTGCTTGTGCCGGAGTAAGCGCCCCAGAACGGAGTTGCTGGCTTATTGCATTGCTAATATTTGTGGCTTGACTCAGATTCATCGGATTATGACCCACATTGCCCACGCCTGAGATAGGCCCCATAGGTGCCGAAATTCCAGTTCCTCCTACGCCCCTTGCACCGCCCATGCCAATGACATTGCCCAGGCCTCCAAGCCCAACCATGCTGTTGCCAATGTTTCCCGTACCTACAGTTCCAAGGCCCATCATCATTTTCCTCTGCATTGGTGATTGCTGTTGCTGCTGTTGTGGCTGCAGCTGCTGCTGCTGCTGTAATAGCTGAAGTTGGAGAGGGGAAGATTTGTTAACCATATGATTACCCAACTGCATATTTGAATTCTGCCCCATCGTATTCAATTGTGAAAGTGGATTTGCTGCAAGCGTTAGAGATGATCTCTGGAACTGATGCTGCTGTTGCATCAATGTGTGTTGACTTTGTTGTTGTTGTTGCTGTTGCTGCTGTTGCTGCTGCTGCCGCTGAGATGGATGTGGGTCAGATTGCTGAGGCCTAGACGTCATTGAAACCCCAGGCAAGAGTCCTTGAGAGATCTGTAGGGCCTGAGCATTTCCAGGTGGAAGCATCCTCGTGCTTGGTATATTCTGGGCCGAGTTCAGAGATGCATTACCAGTGCTAGATGGCTTTGCAACTTCATTCTGTGGTTGACCTGAAACTGCTTCTGTCTGTTGCATCTCAACTCCTGCGTTATTAGGGGGGATTTCAGGAGCATTATATTGACTGCTTGGCGCACGATTCACACGGATTGATTTCAGTTGGACATGATCTTCCATGAGATATCCTTCACGTGTCATCTGCATATGCAGATCATATTAGGTCTTACACTTCCAAAATCTATCAACTCTAAACCAGTTTTGTCGGAACATACCAGCGAACAGAACTGTGCTGCAAGCAAGTCTGCAATGTGCTGTTACAAGTATAAAATGTATGTAAGGCAAAAGGATACAAAATACATAATTGCTGACACAATCATTGTGTGATAGGAATTTATATGATGAAAAATTGAAACTTGATGCATCTCAAAAGCTTCCAGACCCTCTTAGTAAGTGCCCTTTTACCCAGTCCAAGAGGTGGCACATGCAGGAAACTGTAAGAGTGCCTCCCAGTTTGGTTCAAGGAAAAACCAAGTTGAACACTTTCAAAGAAAACCGATGGCACGTACACCATCTGGATCAATGCCAGCTCCCCATGATACCTCTAAAATATGCATTATGAAGGAAAATTTCATTTTCTGACAAAAAAACAAAGAAGAGAAAATTCAAACAGGAAAGAGAGAGTGGAAACACTTGCTATCCTGCCTGGCTGACCCAAATTCTCAGACAATACTCCAATAATCCAAGAGGCAGGTTGCAGTTAAATGCAAAATTGTTTTAGAGTAGTACATGTGGAGCAAGAACCCCCCCCCCCAATTTTTTCTTTCATTCTCTTCTCTCCAAAATAAACCCTAATATGATGTATGCATACACCAAAACAAGAGGAAATCTATGCAGAGGTATGCACCATAAAAAATTACACTGCAAACTCACTGTATTGGGCAATGTAGGCAGATAATCCTCTACAGCCAAGTAATCTGCATCATCTATTTCTCCATAATGGATTGCTACATTGCCATCATTTGGCTTCTCTGACATGATCATTCTAGTCCGTACCTTAGGAACAATAGAAAAACTATTTCCTGAGGGATAAAATGGAATGGTCAGCAAGGGAAGTATCAATTAGACATAGCAAATGCTAGAGATCTAACTCCTTGGTACACAACAAACCTTGAAGTATGCGCTCTTTCTGCATAAAATTCATGACTCTAGTCTTGCAAACATTCATACTGCCACCTACAAGTGACTTTGACAATGGCATTTTGCATGTTTCATCTTTAAAATTCTCACTAGTGGAATCACCGGAGAGATGAAGCAACAGCTCTTGAGAAGGGTACGTATTAGGTTTCCTGATGGTGTACTCATCAACCTTATTCTTTTTGCAATTAAGTTGAAACCTGAAACAGAAACAGAAACAGATTAAATGTGCATAATAAAAACAGTATGAGACTCATTATGCAAGCATCAATATCATGTTTAAGATGAATGCTCAAGTCAAAATAATATGAAGTAAGGAAACCAAAAAGAAAACAGAAAAATTGCCTTAATGAAGCGGGTGATTGATTGGTATTATACCTCATAGTCACCATTTCTATTTTTGAGAACCTCTCAAGCATGGCTGAATCAGCCAAAGGTGGGGTTCCAACAGGAGGGCTGCTTGCACTTAATGGAACATTGCTATTACTTACACTAGCAGGAGACGCAACTCCACTCATCGCTGGGGTCTTGGGGAGGGAGTTCGACCTCCGCTTCGCAGCAATTTGTGCCGGATGTTGCCGCTGCATGGAATCATTCGCACTGGATGTCAAAGATGTTGCGCCACCAACTGCAGGAACTGAGGTCACTACTGACTTCTCCTTTTGGGATGATCCAATTATGGCAGTTGCTGCAACTGCTCCAAATTGGGGTCCAATTGAACCGCTAGAAAATTCCCCAGATTTTGATGACAAGGGAGATTGAGGTAATCCCACACCAGAGACCCGGGGACTTTGCACTACTTTCCTTTTCTGGAACTGGTCCTCTTTTCTAGAATTATTATCAAGAGGCTGACCCAGATTATTCCAGGGATTCTGAGGGAAACCGGATCTCATAAATTGTTGTGGCAACCTTTGCTGTATTCGTGACTGCTGGGAGTCCATATGGTTTACTTCTGATTCCAGCATGTGCATTTCATTTTTATTTCGATTGAGCTCCGCCTTGTCCAATCTATCTGTCTCAACCGATTCTTCCTTTAAACTATATCTGATCGCTTGCTGCCCCACAGTAAATGGCATTGCCCCAGCCTCTTGATTGAAATTCCCTTCAAACATTTGCTGGGGATACTTTTGCATGCCAGAATTTGCATAGTGCATTCCTCTTGCCAATGATTGCTGCTGTAACAGTGCATTTTTCCAGTGTGAATCTGATCCATGGAAACCGTCTACGTAAGGCCCTATATGCTGCTGCTGACTACCATCAGGACCCACTGGCATAAGCCTTGACCTCTTATTCATATTGGATAAGGGAGACAATTGCCCATCTTGATTTTCCCTCTTACCATGAATAGAAGAAGCATTAGAGTTCATATTTTCGGAGTATGAGATAATCAAGTCCGACCCAGCAGAAGAAGCTCCGGAAGCATTCAAGACAGGACCCCTGAACAGTGATCGGGCATAATTCTTGTGTCTACAACCCCCATCTGATATTTTGACTGGTGAGATACCATAGACGACATGGAAACAGAGGCATCTGGTCCAAAACTTTTAGGTCTTGACTCAAGCACAAGGCTTGGACCAATGTTTTGGGGATTCAGATTCTCATGGACAGGTGGCTGCATTATGAGTCCTGAGTCTCTCAACCTTGAGCTTTCGGGTACTCTATCTATGCACACTTTTTTCCCATGGATGTTATTATTAGACGTGATTGTGACTTCTGGAATCTGCCTCAATTTTTCCTCCGCATACTGTACAGATCCAAATTTAACTGCAAATAGAGTTCAACAGAGTTCATCTACGAGCAATACTCTCCTCCAGCCAAAAATGAAAAAATTAAGCTATATCTTAGTCACCTTAGATGGAACTGGGCTGTGACAGAGTCTATCCAACTTTGGAGTTGGGTCTAGGCAAAGCTGTGGTTGTAGGGCTTTCAATATCCGGGACTCAACTTCCTGCAGCCAAAATGAATCAACATAAATAATGCAGCCTCCTTTTGGCCAAGGAGGATAGAGTGAGTATACTTACCATCAGATCACCATATGTCCAAGCATTATCAGAAATCAGTGGAATATCCTTCACTAACTTCACTCCAACGACATTTTAAGGCGTATTTTG